ATTCTACAAGTGGCTGTTAAAAATAATCCCTGCCTTGGCCATGCAGCTGCTGCTCCGGGGTCATCCCCAAAAAGGGCTCATCCCATCCCCAAAAAGTGCCAATCCCCATCCCCAAATAGTGCTCATCTCATCCCCAAAAATGTGTCCATCCCAGCCCCCAAAAGAGTGCTGATGCCCATCCCCAAAAAAGTGCCCATCCCCTCCCCAAAAAAGTGCTCATCCCATCCCCCCCAAAAAAGTGCTCTTCCCCAAACTACTCATCCCATCCCCAAAAAGTGTCAGGACCCTGAGGTTCCCAAAAAGTGCTCGTCCCCAAACTGCTCATCCCCCAAAAAAGTGCTGAGCCCCATCCCCCAAAAAAGGGGCTCATCCCCAAAAGGGGCTCATCCCATCCCCAAGAAAGTGCTCAGCCCCATCCCCAAAAAGGGCTTATCCCATCCCCAAAAAACTGCTCATTCCCAAAAAGTGCTCATCCCCAAACTGTTCATCCCATCCCCAAAAAGTGCCAGGACCCTGAGGTCCCCAAAAAGTGCTTGTCTCCAAACTGCTCATCCCCAAAAAAGGGCTCATCCCCAAAATCTGCTCATCCCCAAAAACTGCTCATCCCTGCTCCTCCCTGCAGGCTGCAGCTGAGGGATTGGATCACCCCTGGATCTCCCTCAGGTGCCCTTTCCCCCCAGTCTGTGCCCTGGGAGAGCTGCTGGGCCCTGAGGTGCCACTCCCCATCTGGGCTGTGCCCTGGGGAAGGAGCCTGAGGTGCCCTGTGCTGAGCTTGTGGCAGCTCTCCCCAGCACTCAGGGAGCATTTCCCAGAGTGTCTCCAAGAAATGCTAATTGCTTTGGCTTCCCTGGGTACAGCACAGCCACTGGGCACAAAGGGCTCTTAGTCAGCTCAGAGATGTGCCAGATCCTTGCTCTGGATCCCCTGGAGAGCTGCTGGGCTCTGCTGTGGCCGTGCTGATCCCCACATCCCCCCTTGTCCCCAATATCGGGTGGCACGAGGCACTGTGAGCTCTCTTTGGGGTGTGAAACCGCCCAAATTCAACCCCTGGCAGGCACAGCATGCTCCCCTTGAGCTGCTGGAGGGGTGACAGGAGTTTCCCATCCTGGGGATGTGTCAGGAGCCATCAGCTGAACCCTGGGGTGCCACAGCCCAGCCCAGCTCTGCCCTTAGCAGGAAAAGCCCTGTGCAGTGTGCAGGAGCCTTGGTTTGGTGCAGGCAGCTGGAAACTCTCCCTGGCTTTGCCCCTGCTCCAACTGCAGGGAAAAAATGCTGCTAACGAGGCTCCTGTGTCACAGCCACCAGCCTGTCACATCCAGGCCATCTCCCTTTGCTTTCTTGCCTTTTTTTATCCTTTTTTTATCCCTCTCAGCTAGACAGGAGCCCAGGGAAGCAGAGGCTGTGGAGGGTTGGCAGTGCCCATCTGCAGGGCACAGTGGAGCTGCAGAGCCCCTGCCTGGTGCTGGGGGTGGCTCTGAGGCAGCAGCACCTTCTGGCTGGGGAGTGTCCATCATCCTCCTCCTCACCTGCAGGGCTGCAGCCTGCTCTGGGCTCCAGCACTGGCCTGGGAGAGAGGAGCTCTGGGATCACCCAGCTGTGACCTTCCAGTGCCTGAGGAGATGTGGAGAGGGAATTTAGCAGGGATGCAGTGGCAGCATAAGGGCATGGCTGCACACTGCCAGGGAGTGAGGTCAGATGGGATANCACCCCCTGTGATGCCCCTGGCACTGCCCTACCATGGCATTTCACCCCTCTGCTGGTGCCTCACTGGAGTTTGGTGCCCCTTCCCAGCCCTCCCAGCATGGGCAGGATTGCTGCTTTGATTTTTTGGCTGTTTTTCCCCCCAGGACAAGGGCTGAAGAAGCCAGATTGTGCACAAATTTATGATGCCCAGGTGTTCCTGTGCCTGCAGGGCTGAAATTTTGGGGCTGGCAAAGCAAGGAGATGCACAGCTGAGGACAGAATGGCACCATCTGATCTGTGAGCTCCCACCACTGCTTCCCACTGCTCTGGGTGCGTTTTGTTCACGCTTCTCCCCTGCCTGAGGCTGATGTGAGGCAGGGAACCTGTGGCTGTGGGCCATGGCTGGCGCTGAGCCGCGCTGCTGAGCAGATCTGAGAGGCCTCCAGGAGCTCCGGGCAGGATTTGTGGCTTTATCCCTGGAGATGCTCCATGCACAGGAGCCTTGCTGAGGGGACAGGGAGTGATTTGCACCCTGGATTTCAGTGTCACCGTGTCATCATCTGTCCCATGAGGAAGGCAAAGCCAGATGGAAATTGTGTCTTTGGGGTGATAAAACCACTTGATGCCAGGTGTAAATTCCTGTCCTGGGGCTGCAGAGGAGCTCAGGTGGCCCTGAGGGTGGAAGGGTGGGAAGGTGGCCTCTGCTCCTGGGATGGCAGTGAGGGTTTGGAGGGCACAGTGCTGGTGTTTACACTCATTAGGCTATCAGTGCCTCTCACTAATTGCTTACAAATGGATCCCTACCTTAGCAAACAGCTCTGTGCTGCTGCTTGGCATTCCCATGGCAGCCTGTAGGACAAAATCTTGGCCAAGAGAACATCCCTAAAAATCAGCCCTTGGAATGTGGAATGTGCTCTGCGTGCAGGCAGCACCTCCCTGGGAGCCTGGGCATGACTGATGCTGTGTTTGTGCTGAAAGGGTTAAAGCTGCCCCTGCCCCGAGGATCTCAGCCCCTGGAGTGAGTGGGAAGGATCCTTCTGCTGCTCTGAGGGAGCCAGCAGGGCTGGGTGCTGCAGGTGCCTGGAGTGCTGCTGTGAGTCACCCGTGGCATCTGCACATCATCCATCCCTGCTGGGGTGGCACGGGGGCTGTGCCAGCCTGGGCACTGCTTGTTCTGGGTGAGACAGAGGGGCTGTGCCAGCCTGGGCACTGCTCTGGGCAGCACCAAGGTGCCCCTGCTTGTTCTGGNAATATTCTCCGGGGAGAGGGAGAGCGGCAGCCTCCTCCCGCGGCCGGGGAGCGGCACGAGAAGCGGATTTAAGGAGCATCTTGGCCCCTTTGTTGGGTGAGAAGGACGGGCAAGGAGCGGCAGGATGAGCACCAGCAGTGAGTACGGCGTCCTCTCGCCTTGGCTGAGGGAGTGGGGCTGATACCGCACCGAGCTGGCTGGGAGCAATTGGAAAGAAAATGTCATAGCAGCGCTGACAAGCCCAGTGGGATGGATTTTGGGTTATTTTCCTGCTCGCCTGCTCTCTGACAGGCTCTGGCTCGGCCGTGTTTGATGCGGGCTGAGCCGCGGTGCTTATCTCCACGGAGTACTTTTCTTGGCTTGGATTTCTGGGGTTTTGGAGGGCAGAGCATCGACTGAAATGTCGATACGCAACATGGTGAGAGGCAGCCAGGAGCGCTCTGACAGGCACAGCCTCACTTGCTGCTGCCTCTGCCTGGGCAGAAATGGATGCGAGGGGAGGAGGAGAAGGGTGAGGAGACACCCAGAAACCTGAGCGAAGCACAGGTGCAATCCTGGGGAAAAAAAATAAAAGCCCCCAAAGCTTCTGCAGCTGGGGATGTGGGTGTTGCTATTGTGCGTGTGAGACAGGGACAGAGGCACTCATGCGCTGTGGATGAATTTCTAAAGAAGCAGAGCTCGGAAATGCGCTGCATAAGATGAGAACTGGCACCAGGCTGCTCACTTTGGATTCCGTGCCCTTGCTGGAAAGTCTGGGAGGATTGATCAGGGCTGAGCAAGTCACAATCAATTTCTTTTCCTGCCTGGCGTGCTGTGTGACAGCTGTGCCCACCTCGCTGGCACGGCTTTGATCCCCGTCTGTAAGTCCCTGGTGAAGGAGTTGGTGCTGGTGGCCACCTGAGGGGCTTCCTGCTGGCCTGGCCCCTCCAGGGGAGCCCCCCTGGCCCTCCGTGGGTGCTGGAGCTGTGTGGGGAGCAGGGCCCTCCCCTAGGCACGGAACAGCAGAGCAGCAACTTCTCCATTGCACTGGCGTGCTGAGGTTTCTCAATCCGAGGGCTTGGGGTGGTTCCCGAGCAAAACACCGTGAAAAATGCCTTGGCACGCTGCGAGCCAACAGAACAGGTGATTCCAGCTCTGTCGGGCTGTGTCAGAGGCGAGGAAACTTTCCAGGTGCCCTGTGCCCGAGCCACACCTGGGGCAGCGGCGAGGAGCCCCCTCCTCCCGGGGCAGCCGGAGTGGGAAACAATAGGGACTGATCCTTTCCGAGGCTGCAGGATGCCTGATAACAAAGGGTCCTCCCTCTGCTCCTCGGGGGGAGCAGCCCGGCTCTGTGCTCAGCCCTGCTGGCATCTCCCTGCTCAGGTGGGACTGCTGAGCTTCCTCCGGGCCGCTTTTGGCAAACGCCTGTTGGTTCCTTTTGGGATTCCTTCCCAGCTCTTCACAGCAGCCCGGGCTGCTGCTGGAGATAAGGGCTGCTTATGGCACTGCTGTGCTCCAGCTATCTGATGGTGCTGCAAAACTCCCTCGGCTGTGGCCTCCCACGCCCATGGAGGTGCCAGGGATCCAAACCCTGCCCATGGAGGTGCCAGGGATCCAAACCCTGCCGCTCTGCCCATGGAGGTGCCAGGGAGCTGAACCCTGCCCATGGAGGTGCCAGGGATGCAAACCCTGCCCATGGAGGTGCCAGGGAGCTGAACCCTGCTGCCTGTCCATAGAGGTGCCAGGGATCCAAACCCTGCCCATGGAGGTGCCAGGGATCCAAACCCTGCCCATGGAGGTGCCAGGGAGCCAAACCCTGCCCAGAGAGGTGCCAGGGAGCTGAACCCTGCTGCCTGTCCATAGAGGTGCCAGGGAGCCAAACCCTGCCCATGGAGGTGCCAGGGAGCTGAACCCTGCTGCCTGCCCCCTGCTCTGCCCATGGAGGTGCCAGGGATCCACACCCCCTGCTCTGCCCCCTTCTCTGCCCTGCCACACAGAGGAGGCCCCTGGGCACAGCCAGGAGTCCTTGGGAGCTGCTCCTCTGCCCCTGCCCAGCTCTGTGGCCCTGGGCACGTCACTCAGCAGTGCCAAGGCTCCTGCCCAGCCTTTTGGGGCTTTGCAGTCTGTGCCTGAGTTGCCATTCCCCCATTTGAAGTAGCAGCTCTGTGACATCCCCTGGTCACTCAGGGTGCTGGGGTTGGTGATTTTTGGGTCACTGGAGGTGCTTTGGGAGCACCCCAGGGTTGTGCAAACCCTGCTGGGCACTGGCTCTGCCCTCTTGGGCTCCCATTGCTCTCCCACAGCTGGAGTGCTCTGAGCAGGGCTTGGATGCCCAAATGCTGCTTCACCTCTGATCCAGCTCACTCTGTGAGCCAGGCTGGGCTGTGGGGCCGTCTCTGCCATCAGCTCCTTCTGGGACTGCTGTGAGCACAGCCAGGAGCTGCCTC